GAGAGAGAGAGAGAGAGAGAGAGAGAGAGAGAGAGAGAGAGAGAGAGAGAGAGAGAGAGAGAGAGAGAGAGAGTCGGAGTGGGTGGGGAGGTTAACGAGCCAGTAGTTGACAGTACTTTATCTATGATCCCATGTTCATTGTATGCGTTGCTTTGCTGTGCAAATCTCGGAGTGAACTGATAGCCGGGGGGAAAGTGCAGTGCTTGGTGGTGGCTGTGGAAATCTGAGCGAAGTGATTGCTGAGCTACCCTCCTTTTACAGGCTCTTGTCATTTTTTTTCCATGTACGCTGGAATGTGGTTGGATGTTCCGATGCAGGCGTCATTCTGAGCTATGCCATTGCCGGAGCAGCGTGTATTGTGGATGCATTGTGTTATGCGGAGTGCGCCGCACGTTTTCCCGCAGTTTCTGGGGGTGCGTATCTCTACACGCTCACGGCGTTCAACGGGCTTGCAGCGTTCGTCGTTTTCTGCAACTTGTTGTTTGACTACCACATTGGAGCGGCAAGCATCGCTCGGAGCCTTGCTGGCTATGTCTCTTCGATGCTGGTCCATTTCTGGCCTGATCTCGGGGAATGGCTCCCATTGTGCCTGACGGCTCACGGCATGCCCTTAATGAATGGAGTTTTCTCAATCAATCTTTTTGCACCCTTGATTCTCGCTGCCATAACGTTAATCCTATGCCAGGGCGTCAAAGAATTCTCTGCTGTGAATGGGGCCATGACAATGCTCAAGGTATGTGTTTTTTCAACTTTTTTTTTGTTTTGTTACTGTCCACCAAAACTTGCTAGCTCCGTATGTCAGCATGGCAGATTTTTTTTTTTTTTTTTTCGTAGTTTATTTCTATTTTTACCTTTTCAGGTAAGTTTGTAAATTTGTATTGATTGGATAAACATTGCTAAGTGCCTTTTTGAAAGAAAAAAAAAAACAGATAAACATCGGTAAGTGCCTGATGGCTGAATGGTAGACAGTGCTGGACACGCATAACTGTTGATAAGAACATCAAGTTCAAAGTTCGAACCCTGTGATACGCTAAGGTTAGTGCTACTCTTCCTCTTTTTTTTTTTTTTTACATTTCTTGATATATGCGTTTCATCCTTGCACGGGGGCCATGCTAGTCTTCTCTGTATTGATCCAGTTTTAACGGATGTCCCAAAGGACTCTTCCTATTTTTTATTTTTTATATTTATTAAAAACAAAGGCAACAAAAGAAGATTGGATACACATCTCAGGTTCATCTCAGGTTTTACAACTTGTGTCTTAAGTGTGCTTTTGCTTGTTTTTTCTTTTAATCTATCTGTAAGCTATGGGTCTCGCTCCACTACACAACATTTTACATGAATCTGGACTAAGACACGGACCACATGCATTTGCACCAAACCATCATTTTGAATGTACCGGGACCAGTACAATCTACGAATACATTTACATTGTTGTGCAGTTGAGCGAGGCCCGATATATAATGCCGATAGATGTATACGTGGAAAAACGGGATCAGAAGCCCTGCATTCAACAGGCCCTGAGTCAATCACTAGGTTGTTTGGCTTGGGGTCTAGGTCAGTAGAGGCGTAGGGAAAGGCCTCAGAAATGCATGGGGCCATTTCTTGATTTATGGATTTCATCCTTGCGCAGGGGCCATGCTAGTCTTCTCTGTATTGTTCCAGTTTTAACGGATGTCCCAAAGGGCGCTTCCTATTTTTTTTATATTTGTTAACAACAAAGGCAAAAAAAGAGGATTGGATACACATCTCAGGTTCATCTCAGGTTTTACAACTCGAACGCGTCGCCTCTCTCTCTCTCTCTCTTCCTTCGCGGTCAGGCAGTCCACAGAGTGAGCAAAAAGCGAATGAATCATTCCGCCTTGTAGCGGAAGATTCATTCTCATTTCGCACAATAGTTGCACGCTAGCAAAGACTGCGCAGTCACACACACACACACACACACACACACACACACACACACACACACACACACACACACACACACACACACACACAGAGCCGCGTCGAACGCGCCGCTTCTCTCTCTCTCTCTCTCTCTCTCTCTCTCTCTGTGCCTTCACGGTGGGCAGTCCATAGAGAGCAAAACGCGAATGAATCATGTCGCTTTGCAGCGGAAGATTCATTCCCATTTTTCACAATAGTCGCGCGCTAGCAAATGAGAGAGAGAGAGAGAGAGAGAGAGAGAGAGAACCCTCTTGCGCCCTTGAATTTTGTTGTTTCTTTTTCTTTTTTCTTTTCTTGTTTTTTGAAGTGGTATCTCGTTTCTTTTGGGGGGGTTATTTTTTAATTTCTAAAGAAAAACAGCTCCTACCGGTTCTTCAACTCCCCGACCCCCTAAAGTCGTGGCGCGTTAAGGGCCGCAACTTTTTTCTATAGCTGGGCGAGGTACTGGTGGTTTAAGTGTGCTTTTGCTTGTTTTTTTTTTTTTTTTAATCTATCCGTAGGCTATGGGCCTCGCTCCACTGCACAACATTCTACATGAATCTGGACTAAGACACGGACCACATGCATTTGCACCAAACCATCATTTTGAATGTATCGGGGCTAGTACAAGCTATGAATACATTTATATTGTACAAGCTACGAATATACATTGTTGTGCGGTTGAGCGAGGCCCTATATATATTGCCGATAGATGTATACGTGGAAAAACGAAGTCAGAAGCCCTGCATTCAACACGCCCAGACTCAATCACTAGGTTGTAGGCTTGGGGTCTTAAGTCCTTAGAGGTGTCAGGTTGTAGGCTTGGGGTCTTAAATCCTTGAGAGGCGTAGGGAAAGTTCCAGAAGTGCATGGGGCCATTTCTTGATTTATGCGTTTCATCCTTGCGCAGGGGCCATGCTAGTCTTCTCTGTATTGTTCCAGTTTTAATGGATGTCCCAAAGGGCGCTTCCTATTTTTTGTTATATTTGTTAAAAACAAAGGCAAAAGAAGAGGATTGGATACACATTTCAGGTTCATATCAGGTTTTACAACTCGTGTCTTAAGTGTGCTTTTGCTTGTTTTTTTTTTTTTTAAATCTATCCATAGGCTATGGGCTTCGCTCCACTGCACAACATTCTACATGAATCTAGACTAAGGGGCTCGTTAGACACTCCTGACGGCGTCCTCGGGGCCGAAGGAAATTTCCTTCACAGTTTCGCAGGAAAATCCTTCCGTCGTTCCACTTATCCTCGGGGCTGCCTCCCAAGGACGATTCCTTTTCGGCCCCAGCAGCCCGCTTCATAATATTATATTTGCCCCCCCCCGCAGCGCCACCCTTGGTCCATTGGCTGATGTCGGTCTCGCGGTGGTAGTCCAGCTGCTGACGGCGGGAAATTTAGGAGGGCGCTGGCGATGGGGGAAAAAAAAACTGTAAAATCACAGGGGACCTCCCGGTTCGAAATTCAAATTTCGAATTCGGTGGTCGGCGTAGTGGCGTACTAGCGTCGTCGTGTTACAGTCTTCATTTGTCGCCGTGAGAAGGTCAATCACCATCGCCGCCTCCTGCCGATGACCGTGTATCTTCAGTGAGAGACTCGGTGGGAACGTCGTCCGCGACTCCGCGGTGAGGTTGACGTCATCGTCGGTGTGTTTCTTAATGTGGCTGTTGATCCGGCCTTGCAAGGACTCGTGGCGATGAAGTTCGGCGGCGACGACGGACGTGCGAAGTTGACGACTGTGGAGAAGACGGCCGTTGTGGCGGCCATGATGATGGTGTTCTTCCGTTGTCAGCATGAGAGGTCGTTGGGGAGAACGAGAGCGCAGATCCGCGCGCGGAGCAGGAAGATGGCTCAGGGAGCCCAGGTCGATGGGCTGGATTCAATGGCCATCACTGAGTCTGTACACTAGGTTTGCTACGCCATGGGTTGCAACGTTCTTCCACGCGCCACGCCGAGATGGTGGATGAAAAGGACTGGTGGGGCATGGGAGGATCTCAGGCAGTGCGACGACGCAACGGAGGAGTACTTCCGGGAGAAGCTGCGTATGTCGCCACGTGTCTTTCAGGAGATCGCTGAAGCTTTGTCGCCTCATCTACAGAGGTGTGTGACCTTCTACAGGGAGCCACTGCAGCCTGATCACATCGTCGCTTATGCATTGTATAGGTGGGCATCGGGGAAGACGTACGAGAGTAGCACATGCAACTTCGGGATCGAGAGAGCTTCTGGGCTGGTTGCGGTATGGGATGTAACGGCGACGCTGTTGGCGGTGTATCAGGAGAAGATATCATGGCCGACGGGGGTGCGCAAGTTGGTCATCCTACGAGTATTCACTGACAAAGGATTCCTGAAGTGCCATGGGTGCATCGACTGTACTCACGTGTACATCGACAAGCCGACAAACGCCCCCAACGAGGACTACTACGATTATAAACGACGTTTCTCGGTTGTCGCATAGGTAGTCGTTGATCTGAATCTGCTTGTGCTGGACTTTCACGTGGGCTACCTTGGAAGTTGCCACGATGTCCGGGTCATCCAACTCTCAAGTATGTGGGCGCGTGCAGAGGCTGGCAATCTTTTCTCAGGGCCGCTAGTGATGCTCCCCTTCCAAGTGCAGACGAATGGGTACTTGCTGGGCGACAACGGCTATCCTCCGTTACAATGGATAGTTGTACCCTATGGAGGCAATGGTCAGCACCCTGTGGAGGAGCGCTTCAACAACAAACAGAAGGTGGCAAGAGAGGTTGTGGAAAGGGCTTTCGGAAGGCTGAAGGGGATGTGGTGGCTGTTCTTGCGGACGCATAAGACGAATATGGACACCTTGCTGCAAAAGTTCGCAGCCGTTGGCATCCTTCACAACATCCTCGTCGACGCAGGCATTCCATTTGACGAGAATCTGTTGTGGGAGGTGGACGCCAACGGAGTGCGGCGCCGCGTCGACCTCGGGATTCATCGCCCCCTGCGGCCGATGTGCGTGGAGAGTTCAACAAGTGATGCACTCATTCTAAGGGACGCGTTGGTGGAGCGGATGAAGCTCGATTAGCGACCTCCCTCCTCCGTGGCATGCCGATCCTCGGTGGAGAGATGTGGTGAGAGGATGACGGGGTTGGCATCGGTCCAGGCATGCGTGGAATGACGGAAGGGTCGGATCCTGTGTCGTTGTCTTCATTTGTACAATATTACGTCCTCAGAGCTACTCCTAGCGATCATGAGACTTAGGGCCGGAGGGACACACCAGGGCCTAAAGGCCCGACCTTTGAGGGTCACAGGCCCTAAAGGCCTGATTTTGCACTTTGAGGGTCACAGGCCCTAAAGGCCTGATTTTGCACTCAGCCCAGCGGGTAGGCCCAAACGACACTTTGTTTGGGCCTGGCGGCGCTCTTGAGGCTGCC